GGATGTTTCCATTTCAAGTACTTTGGGACCAAGGTAGTTTTACTGGGATACAACCTGAATTCAAAATATGCCTTCCACACAGAGAGCTTCTTATGAACAGCTAGTTCAGAGGCCAAAAGTTGCTTGTAGCAAGTACAGAGGATAACTTCTGAATAAATGAATATATTGGAGGAAATCATAAGCTGCTTACAGGGTGTTTGCAAACAGGAACAGAGAGTATATTCATCAAAGAAATTACTCAGTTTGAATAATTTGTTCAGCTCAGAGCATGTTTACCTGGCTGTGAGGGGAATGGGGAAGTTTAATTGGCAAATGTTTGTATTGTGCTTTGAAACAGTTGTATGAAAGGGAAGAGTTCTTGTTGTTTCTAGGGTTATAATTCCTTCTGTAGTTTGTGTGAATGCTGCCTTTTCTTCAGGGCTGTGTAAAGAAGGGATGCAGTGGCTGGTTTGCACCATGTGCATGTGGGGGAGGTGATAGAAAGGATGTCTTCACTGCAGAGGGCACCATGGCTGTGTCTGCCCCACACACCTGCACAGTCTGCAGGCACCCGAGGGTGGAAGCAGCTGAGCACAGACTGCCCTGGGGGTGTCACGGACCCCGAGTACCCAAACAGGGTTGTCTCTGCTTCAGCTGATGCTGAATATGGCCATTTTTTATCAAAAAAGCATCAATATTGTATTTTAAGTTATCCAAGTTTTACAGAGAAGACAGCAAACATCTTCCACAAAAGCAGTGAAATTATGACTGTATCTGTTCTGTCCAAATCACTGTCGGCTCTTCAAAGGAGCTGTAAGAAAACTGCAAGTAAACTTGCAGATGTAGGAGAGCAGATACAGGTCTGAATTGGGCTGGGAAGTACTCTGTAAATACCTGAATAGTATCACAGTACTCAATATCTAGAGAGAATCCTTCTCAGTTACATCACCATTGATTTTTGGAAATGAATAAGTGTCACTGGGAGCAAAATTTGGCCCATACAACTAAGTAATAAATACATTTTTGCAGGAAGTGTATTTATAAACATAGAGTGAGGCTTGGATCTTCAAGTTACATTTGCAAAGCTACTGCCTGAAAATTGGCATGGTTCCTTCCAGTCAAGTGATCTTGGAGACAGTTTTGCTGCATCACAAACTGCAGTAGTATCTCTGAGGCTTTGGAAATGAAACACCAGTGTCTCTGCAAACAGGATACTATTTGAGAGTTTTAATTGGAACCAGTTGTGTTTGAAGGTTCAGGGCTAACCCCATAAAGCTATTCAAGATCTGTCCACAGTGTTCCCCAGATACACAGGGGTGAAGAGCTTACTGAGATCAAGGCCCAGCATGAGATTCTGCTCTAAACTTGAACTGAATTGAACAGATCTTTTTGTGTATATTATGTTTTGAAGACATTTGAGTGCTTCAGATATGTTCCTTCCTCTCCTCCCTGTCTTGTCAAGGACTAGATGCAGAAATATTACAAGACAAAAGGGGAATTGAGTCACAGAGAAGCTGAATGCCATGTATTTAAAGTCAGTGTTTGTCTTCTCACTTAACAAAAGTGGTGATTAGAAGAGATAAGGAGGAAGGAAATGGATGTTGGATCATCTTCTATAACCGTGTAATATTTATGTAGAGGGAACAGACCTGGCTGAGAATTTAATTTTAGCTTTTGCCATTTGGCTGGGAAGCTCTAGCTAACACACTCAAAAATTCCACACCTCAAAACTCCCAAGCAAGGAAAAAATTGAAATAGAAAAAAGAAAAGAGAGAAGTAACAAAGAAAAAGAGAAATAAAACCAGAATTTGATTGACTGAATATATGGATATGCCATAGTAATTTCCAATAGACGGAAAGTGTGTTTGATGGAGTTAGTCAGAAGTAGATTAGCAGGACCAAGGAATTGTTATGACAGGAAAACCTGGCCCCAGAGTGGAGTATAACTTGAACTGACATTTCTCTGCAATGTAAACCTGAGAGTTTTCCCAGCTGAATATATCTTATTGCCCCTGCATTCATTATAAGTTTTCTCCAAGTTTGGGTTGGAGTAAATCAGTACAAAACTCTTAAAATATGATAGTCTTATTTGATAGTGCATGTTCTTTTGTCACGATGCAGTGGTACATGAAAAATCTCTAAATTAGAATGAATAGAAGAGCAGATAGATTCCTCTGATCAGGAAAGCCATAAATTTTAAGTCTCTTGGTGTATATTGCTTTGTGGTTTGCTTTAGTCTTGATTTAGACCAGCTTTAGAAAGTTAATATCAGCCGTTAAACCTTCCAGGCTATCTTCCCCCACTTTTTTTTTTTTCTGGTTTAGAAGTGAATAAAAGAGCTTTGTACAGTTCTTGAAACTGAGCCTGAAACAGCTCTGAACAAAATATAGTGTTCCTTTCAAAATCTTGGAAATAATTACATCATAGGCAAATTGGGCCAGGAACCGTTAATAGTATTCTTTGTGGGATGAAATCCCATGGGAGGACCTATTTCAGCAGACTGGCATTGTTTACAAATAGATGCAGTGACAGGTACAGTTGTCCCATTCTGAGGCACAGCTGAAACTCTGGCCTATAATGGGCTCTCAGCATAACTGCCTTGCTTTTGATAACAAGCTGAAAACATTGGTGCTCTGTGGTCATCTTCACACTGATCATCCTGGGAGGGAAGGCTGTATTTGGCACTGGAAAACTATTTGTAGGTGGCTTAAAGAGAAGCTAAAAGCCTTGCTTGCATAAGCTCCTGGTCTTTGAGAATTGCTGCAGGAACAGAGAGCTGTGTCCAGTTGTCTCTGCTGGGCTTCATAAGCTAGGAAGTCTGCACAGAAACCTGGGCATCACAGACCTTCCCTTCAGGATAACAAACAGAGCATGCCTGCATCTCCCTGGTACTGTACAGGAGTTTTCATTACGGGCTCCTGCCCTCCCTGCTTCCTTATTAGAAAACCTTCTGCATTTCAGGATGGAAGTCACAAAGATTAGTAATATTAACTGTTTGACCTCAATCTACAAAAACATTTAGTTCTCTAGGTAAGTAGGCTAGTCTGTACTTGAAAACTACACTGGCACAAACTCTGGTGTGGGCACAATTACTGCTGTTTCTGGGTGGTACAAAGCACTTTACTGCCTATGTACATGCTTCTTTCTACAGGAGGGTGAGCTGTGTTCCTTCATCACCAGAGCATGTTTTCACCTGGACAGTGGGACTGTGGGAACAGAGCCTTCTCTTGGGAACCAGACACGTGCTGGGGACCATGGTTTTTCTGAAGGATCACTTGTGCTTTCCCAGATGGTGCTGTCCAAATGACAGACACGTCTTTCTCTCTGACAGCTGCCTCCAAGACATGACTCCATTAGTTACATGTGTGTGATCTTTTCCATGCTTTTAGGCCTGAAGGCAAAGCTCTAGAGAACACCACCTGGTCAATGGCTGCCTGTAGTTCAGTGTTACCTGCAGTTTCAGGTGGAAGTGAGCAACCCCATGGTGTAGGGGAGGTCTGGCAATTGAACAGCTTATGATACACATCCTCTTAGGATGGTGAACACTACCAGGTCACTAATTTAACACAAACCAGTTGAAGGCAGCTGTGAAGGTGCTCATTCAAACTGCTCCCCTGATGGAGGTGAGCAGCTGGAGTTAGTAGCAGCTTCAGGTGTGTGTTTGTGAATCGGGACCTCCAGGATCACTGTTCCATGCTGTCTGTACTAGGGAGAGGACTGGGACCCAGCTGTTGCTAGAGTTTCAGCTGTGTGACCTTGGGATGGGTCTGTGCGATCCCATGGAGATCTAGATATCTGGGGACAGATGCAAACTAGAGGTGTGATGGTATATTTCATTTGTTGTTATTTTCACTGGACTGATGTTTTTAATCTCAAATCTGGCTTTTTGGGATTTAATTTAGATGAAATTAAAAAGGTAAGTCAAGTAACTTGAAAACATGATTATTTTATGTGTGGTAATTTTAAAATAGTAACAAAGGCTAAAATAACCATGTCATGAAAAACAGTCTAAAGTGAACATATCTAAATGTTTCAGTTGGTCATTTAGCTTTTACTTGTAAGGTAGCAGCAGTTAAGGCAATGTGGATTTCATTATTTCCTGTTAATGTACCACCCATAAATCTGAAAAAATTACAGTTATATTAAAGTAAATTTAGTTGCTGAATATGTTACTCTCCATTCTAATAAAAAACCAAAAGCAACCCAAGACCAGCCATGCAACCCCAAAACCTCTCAACCGTGGGAGCTTTACTTGACCAAAGGAAGAGAAGCTGCTGTTTGAAACTTCAGGACCTCTCTCTGTGTGACAGTCACCATGTTTGGTTCATACTTCTGAAAAAAAACCCTACATCTTCCATAGCTGAAAAGCAAGTTGCTTCCCTTTAAATTTAAGAGAGTAGCTAATGAGGGCAATAGCTTGTGTTACCTGTGAATCAGCATGAGGAGAGATCCAGGACTCATTCACAGTGATGTGCATGTGCCTTCTGTAAAAGGAGCCACATTGACAAGATGCCTATAGTATCATAGCGTTTAAAAAGTACAGCCCACATCATTTCTGATCTGTCTAAAATTATACTCTATTTTTGGGTCTTAAACCAGTTAATTTTATGAAGTGTTGCTTGTTACCCATATCCCCTCAACAAGGACCTTGTTTCTTACATAATAAAAAATAATTGACTACAGTGCCAGGTAGTTTCAGTACTTCATTTAACTTTTACTGTGGAAGTCTGTTTGAGAGGAAAATTTGGATTGTAAACAATTACAGGAAAATAATTATAAATAAAACCTGCAAAAATTTGTAACAGGGATACAGAAAAAACTGTATTTTAATGGTAATACCTGCTTTTTAGGAATGAGCCACTGAATTTATGTACAGTAAACAGCAGCAACCTTATTCAGATCAGACTTCTAACAGAGAGATTTTCTCATGCCACTAGAAAGCTTTTTGTGCCCTCTTTCCTGCCCAAGCCACCAGCCGTGGCATCCTCCCTGACAGGTGTGTTTTGTGTTGTGCTTTGCAGGAGGCTGTGAGGGCTGCTGAAGATGTCCGATAGTCTGGATATTGAAGAGAAACCTCCAGCTCCACCGTTGAGAATGAACAGCAACAATCGCGATTCTTCAGCATTAAACCACAGCTCAAAACCGCTTCCCATGGCCCCCGAGGAGAAGAACAAGAAAGCCAGGCTGCGCTCCATCTTTCCAGGAGGAGGGGATAAAAGTAAAGTATCAGCAGTGCAGATGGGGGGCTCCTTCTCTGGGCTTTCTGGTGGTCGTTGGTTTTCGTGTTTATTTTCTGCCACTTTTCTCTCTGTTTTGGTTGCAGGCCATGGTCCCAAATCCTTCTGTTCCAATTACTCTAGAAACACATTTCAAAAGAGGAGGAGGTGTTCAGTCAGTTACTTTCTTGTCTATGAAAAGATGCTAAAATGTGCACACATTGTTAAACTTGCCTTTTAAAAATAACTTTATAGTTATACTGGGAATCCTTTCCTTTGGATTTTGCTTTGCATTAGCAGTAAATACAGAGATGGAGATGTGTCCTTGTGAAAACACATTCTCAGAAGTGACATGGCAATATGCCTGACACTTTGGGATTTTTTAAATGCACTTACATTCCAAGAACAGGAACAAAACTCTTCTTTCTTGTTCCTTTTGCAGCGAAAGTGGATTCAGAATGGCTTGGTTTATAACCAGCTAGGTGTGGATGCAGCAAGAGAGTCTTAAACATGCAGCAAACAGCATTTCCTTTGCATTCTTTGAAATGCATTTGTGGAAGGGAGTGTGTTTGGAGTTAGCATATTTACAGGTTTAAGGGAAGGCATCTTCTTTATTTCTAGTGCCGTGAGAACGGCAGATTTTGGGGAATGAGCTGGCTCACTTGTCCTCCAGCAGGAGAATCCTAGAATGAATAAATGCTGGTTTTGGTGGAACATTTTTATATAATCCCTTATTTCACTTCTAGATTTGACTGCTACTTTGAACTGAATTTGATAGTCCTTAAATGTAATTTTTGCTGTATTAGCTTGCAAATGAGAGATTGAAGAAGATCGTTTTGTTATCTACAAACAGATGACATCTTCTAACTGGCAATGTCTGTCCTGAAAATTAAACAATATCATCTTAGTGATAAAAAGGGAAAGCCTTTGCATTTGTATTTTATATATTGCTACCATCTTGCTGAATGCTAAAATGAAAATATTTCATCAGTGAACAATGTATAATGTTGTGCAGCATCAACAAAAGCTGACAATTATTTAATGGGGGAAAATGCAACAACGCAGAAGCATTCCAAATATACTATAAGTACAAAGAGCAGAGCATCTTTATCTTAAAGGAGGCTGTAAGGTAGAATAGGAAATATGCAAATAGAGGCCTCGTGGAGCCAGTGTCTGAGCAAAGACAAACTTGGACTGGAAGGGCTACTGTTACACAAATTCCAGCCTTGGATCAGACCCCTAGATGAACCTATGGAGTTGGCAAACATAATATAAAAACACTACAGGAAAGTGAAGGCAGTTTCCCTCAGGCTTTATTCCACTCCTTCTTTGTTGGTCAATAAAACTGGACTGAAGTGATATTTGTCAGTACTCAGAAGTGCAGGAGATAGATGACCACAGGGGGATGTTACTTTCAATAGGTTGTAAAGAGGGAAAGAGATGAGAAGCAAATGCAGGTTGACTGACTTTCAAGTCTGCCTGCTCAACTAAGATACTCCACACTCTGGGAATACTGGTGGAGTGATTTAAAAAGAAAAAAATTCTGGAGACTAATAAAGCCTGCATTTTATGATCATATGTCTTAGTTAATTGAGAGCTCAGAGCTTTTCCAAAGACATTTATGGGATTCTGTTGCTGGGCAGATTCTATCTTTCCTGAAACAGAGTTGCTGTTTGAGCCTTTTAGTTGGAAGAAGAGTCACTGCATGAGCTGCTGGTCTTCACAGAACCTGTAGGGAAAAAAATGGTTATCTAAAAAAGCCTTTCCTCTGATTTGGCTGATTTTGAAATGGATTCAAACCATGTTGGAGAACAGACACTCATACACATGGTGTGTCCTGTGTGATTTACTTCTGCAGGAACCCGCAAAGTCAAATAGGAGTTAGTTTCTAGATATGAAAACTCAGAGAAAAAAAGAACTGCAAATAGAAATCATACTGGTTTAGAGATAGCCTGAGAGTATTACTTCATGAACAGCTTGCTTTGGCAGCACATTGGCTAAAAGAAAAACAAAATAAAATAACACCTTGTAGACCTTCCCTAACAGGTGTTGACAGGCTGGCATTGTGTTAACCCACTCTGTTTCTCAAGTTGGATGGATGCTAATTGATTTGTTTTCCACTTTTAAAACACTATTTTGAACATACCTGACTGTTAAAAGTTTTAAATGAAAAGCTGTTCAGAAAATAAGTGCTTAACATTTTGCCTCCAGCCAACAAGAAGAAAGAGAAGGAACGTCCTGAGATCTCTCTTCCTTCAGACTTTGAACACACCATTCATGTGGGATTTGATGCCGTCACTGGAGAATTCACAGTAAGTAACTGCTGTATTTTGTGCTTACCAGAACTTCTAGTTTCTTGATGGTAAAATAACCTCCTATTGCCAGAAACATCAGATCACAGCAGCCAGGCTGTGAAGAAAGAGACTTTTATTTGTTTGGCTTAGGATTTGGAGTGTTTAACTTGTGATTCAGGCTGCCTTTTTTTTTTTTTTTTTCTCCAAGGATTGTCAGCAGACTGTCTGTGGGAAATGAAAACTAGGAAGAATGTAGGTGTATGCTTTTACCAGTCCCCCAAGCTGCTACAAGGGTTGGTTATTCAGTGTCATTGGGAAAATATAAAAAGCCCCCCGCCACATACTTAAGTAGACAACCAGCCTCAAGTGCATTGTCCACCTGCTCTGCAGGAGACACTCAGAAAGCTGCAGCACTGTGCAAGTCCATTCATTTTAGTTTAGTATCCTTCAAAATACATTTATACACTAGGTGATCAGTGTTTCTAGCCTTTATGTATTAATAAAATAGCTGTCAGCTTTTGCTTTTCGAATCTCAACAAAGTGTTGGGGAGAATGAATCTGATGGAAGCTCTGAAGTGTGCAGGGGGCTCCAGAGCATTTTTCTCTCTGATTACTAGTAGGGTGCTGAAGCCATTGTTCCTTAAAGCTGAGATGGCAGTGAGCTTACCTTTTTTTAAGCTGGGGAGGTGAGAGGGAGCATTAACAACTCTGCTGTCACCCATCCTGCCCATGAACTGAGTGGTCAGACTGAGTAATCACTGTTGTGGGCTGTGCTAGTGCTGACTGGCTGCATACACCAATAGGATGGGACAACTCATTTGCCTGGACAAAGGATGGCTAATTTTCAGAATTTGAGCCCTAAATGTGATTTCTTCATAATTTTATACTTCGATTGCTACTTTTGTTTCACAAAAACGTTTCAGAAAGCTGGAAACTTTCTGTGTCCTACAGTAGAAGTTGTAACAATAGGAATAACAGTAGGAGAAAAAAGACACATTTAATTACAGCATGTCTTCAAAGGGGTAGTGAAATTGAATTATCCTTAGTAATTAGGAAATACAGCTACATTTAAAATAAGTGGTCTGGTTAATTAGGATTTTTAAAATAGATGTCATAAAATCTTTCTTCAAAATTTATTCTGTGCCAAACCCTAGGGCTTGACTAAATGCATGTTTTAAAAGCCCAGATGTGGTCATTTTTGATCAAAAGCTTTGCATAAAGCTTTTAAAATTGTGTTTTCTCTGGTGTCTATCCTGGTTTTTCCTTTTTTTCCTCTCTTTCTTTCCCTGTTTCCACTTTATTGTTCAGGTTAATCTTCAGTGCCATTCTCCTTATCTTTATATCATATTATGTTACTTTATGCTTTTGTTTCTCTCCTTTTTGTGTTTGCATCACTTATTCTTGTCTGTCTTCACCTTCCCACTTTCCTTCCTCTTCCCACTGGATGTTCAGCTGTTCTTATTTTTTATGTGTTCTTCCTTTCAGCCTTCTACCTTTATTTCTATCCTGTGTTTGAGAATTTTTCCTTCTGACTCCAGGCAAACACAATGGGTCACACTCATGTTCTCTCATAATCTGATTGGTGGTCAAGGTCTTGGTTAGTTCATGTCCCTGCCAGCTGGAATAGAAAGGAGGAGCATCAGGCTTAACACACTTCAGTTCTAAGCACAAGCACTCAATATCTGTATTTTAGGGATCCAGGTTTGGATAATTTTCAATGTTGTTATTATCTACCAGTATTTCAAAACAGTCTCTAGCATCAGAGACCTTTTGGGTTTTTTGCTGTCAGATGTCACCAACACAGAGCAAATCAATTCTACACGGCTAAATAGGTTCAGCTTTGTTGCTGTAGCAGTTTCTTTTTAAATACCTTTTTCCCTTTCGAAACAGTGGACGTGAGGTGTCTGCTGGTTTGCAATTACCCTTGTTCCTGAAGTGTGGAAATGCAGTGCTGCAGTCTGAGAAAGCTGTAACCAATTCAAAACTAACCAAAAGGACAGGTGACTTCCCATGTGCAGCTTTCCAGCACAGGGCTTAATGCTGTAGTCCTCAGTGGAGCCCAGCATCAATCAAAGGAAGGGATTTTTTGCACCATTAAAAATTAGATATTAGTCCCAACTAATCCCAGATGCAGGCACTACATTACACAGTACATTAGGCATGTTTGGTTTGTCCCAACCTGGATAGAACCTGTGTATCAGCTGGGTAGCCATGTGGTAAGTACGTCCTGCAAAGGGACTGCCACTTGCCCGTACCATGTTCTGATATTCCCACTGTCCAGTGGTCACACTGTCTGCCTCTTTCAAAAGTTTGGAAGTGCCATGGGGGTGTCCAATCAATGTGCAAACATACAGGGTTTTTTGTTCTGAATTACTGCAGCTGTCATGCCAGTGGTGCCTGCTCTCCTGGTTATATGCAATGCATTGGGCCATTTTCTGACACCAAACCATCGCCCCCAGCTGCATCCCTGGATTGCTGTTAGATGCATCCTAATGCACAGTTGCATGGGCTCCTGAGTTCTGGCTTTCAGGCTTGAGCACCAACCTGTGTTGTCCATTGTGAAAAAATATTACATCTCCATTTCATTGTGCTTGGAGCAACCACATTTGCTAAGAAATAGGGCTTTTAAAGCAGAGAATAAAATTGGTTGGAACTGTTGGGTGGGAGCATGTTGCTAGAGCTTTGTGTTCCTTTATTTGAAAAAGGAGTTGCACTTTCTGAATGAAGGACAGAGTGGTTAGCAGGCATCTGGGGCGTGTTTTTTGTAAGGCATGCATGTTTGAAACCATTTCCTCATCCCCAACCTAGAAGAAAATGTGGTCACCCACCAAACTTTTAAAGCTTCTAGATTATAACATTAGTAAGTTAGAAAAGTTGTGGCTGTAGATCCCAAGAAGTTGCACGTTCCTAATCTAATCAAGCATTTCTTTACAATTGTCCTGATTTTCAGTCTGACACATGCAGATTGTTTGTGTTGTGGCAGTGCACAACCTCCCAGATTTCACAATCTGACTTTGACCATCTGCTCTCTTCACTGGTCAAATGGTGATCTCAGGGTTGGAGAACACCCAAGCGTGGAAAAAACTTTTATAGAGGCATTCAGAAATGGTAATCTGGCTTCAAAACTAGTAAAACAGGAAAAGCCCAGACCCTCCTTTTTTTTTTTTTTTTTTTTTTTTAATTTTAAATTGGCAAAGGAAATCACATGTAATTTTTCTAGTCAATTGCCATTAATTCTCAGGAATGTATTTTATGAGGAGAAAAAAACTGTTTAAAAGAGAGAGGAAGGGGAATGATGCTTCCAAACTTTGGAACAGTTGTGATTTTTCTGTTCTCCTAAATCTGCCTTCCTGTAGCCTGTCTACCACCTGATCTATTTGGTATCCACCTCGTAACTCCCATTTTAGATGGGACTTGCCCATTCTGGCCCATTGGTTTCCTCCTCCTACCACCTTCTGAGTTTTCCCACATTCTGTTTTAACTTTCTTTTCTTTCTTTATTTACGTCCATTACAGCCAGATCTCTATGGCTCACAGATGTGCCCAGGGAAGCTCCCAGAGGTGCGTCACAGGCCCCAAATGCTTCTTTGAGATGTCATAGCACTGCAGCAGCAGGTTGATGTGTGTGCAGTAGATTTGTTGCTTGGCTTTTCCCACTTTTTTTCATCAATCCTAAACTTTGGAGGCCCATGTCACACATTGTTTTGTGGACAATTTCTGAGAAGAAGCTATGTGGAAGTAGATTGGGGTGGCCCGTTTTTCCTTCAGTGAGCCCTATAATTCGCTGCTCAATGTCAGCTGTGCAGTAAAGGGGGAAATGACATGCTGTTAAACCTAGGGAACTATCCTGGATAACTGAAGCAAGTTCTCATCAATAGAATTTCAGTGTAGAGCTGGAGCTTTTAGTGATTGGATCGATTTTCAAATTCCGCCTCACCCATAAGATGTTCAAGAATTCATCCAAGGCTTTGGATGAGCTCTCAGCCTGTTTTATGAATCCCTGGTTTCTGTATGTTAGCAGTAGAGAATCTAGAGACATCCTTTGCAGCTGTGGTATACCTCAGTGTTATGATTTTGAGAGCTGAAAGGCAGATTTTTTACCCCGCAATGTTCTCTGGTATACTGAGAATTAGTTGTATCAGGGTGGGGTTTACCTTTAAATCAGACAGCAGTGATCATTTCAGCAAAATGTGTTTGCATTCCTAAGCATGTAAAGTCCAGTGTAAAGCTCCTAAAAAACACTGTGTTGTGCACCAATAGAGAATAGTCTTGTTGTGTCTGCCCTGAATCACCAGGCAAACAAGCTTAAGCCTTAAATCATTATTCTGTGGAAGAGCAGAGTTGATTTCCAGGGAAGTTTCATGCCCTTTTTTTTTTCCTCTCACAGTCATTACTTTATTTTTATAAAGTTGGGTCCTGGTTTTAGCTAGATTTTTGATAGAGAAGAAATGATTGCATCTAATTTTAATTGTAAGGTGTCAATCAAAATTTCTGCAAGTAATCTTACAGCGAGCATGGGATCTTGGTAAAGATCTGTGAAGCTGCAGATTTTAAATACTCTAAACCCACTTTGTTTCCACTCGATGTCTACAGGGCATTCCAGAGCAGTGGGCCAGGCTACTACAGACCTCCAACATAACAAAACTGGAGCAGAAGAAGAACCCACAGGCTGTTCTAGATGTTCTCAAATTTTATGATTCGAAAGAAACAGTTAACAACCAGAAATACATGAGCTTTACGTCAGGAGGTAAGTTGATGTCTCCCAACAGGGGAGGTCAGGCTCCAAAACAAGTCAGAGCAAAGTTCAGCATTCAAGTTGTCAGGAGGCAACCTGAACCAATTCTACATTGTGGAATACTCCTGAAGTTAATTCCATTTCTCCTTTCTCACCCCCCCCCCCCCCCCAAAGTCATTAAAATGGTGACTTTGGTTTGTTGCAGGTTTTTAGAACTTACCAAGATTTTGGAACAAAAATGCCATTAAGATAGCATTAGTTTGGCAGAATGCCTGTTGACAGCTTCAGCTAAAAAGAGGGTGTCAGTAGCCAACAGGGTGCAGGCAGCGTTTGGAGTGAACCTGCTGGGGTTCCATTTCCTCCAGAGGATGGTCTGTGGCAGTGGAGTCTGTCATTTCCCCAGTTTGAAGATTCAACTGAGACAGCTTCCAAAATGCAGCTTCTCAGAAGTCTTTCTAAAAACTCTGCACTTATCTCCAGGATTGAGAGAAGGCATATTTTTTTTCCCCAAATTCCATAATTAAAGGATTTGATGCTTACCGTGTCCTAAAATAGCAATTCCCTTTGTGACAAAATGCAGACTTCATAACAGGACATGTGTGCTCCTGAACCCAGGAGCTGCTCTCATGCTTTGTCAAAATAGAGCTGCCATGGCTAAGGGGGATTTCACAGAAGCTTTTCTGTGGAAATGTTGTCAGCAAGCTAATGAGAAGAATGTATGCAATTTGTTGGGATAACAAACAAACAAAAAAAAGCCAAAAAAAACCCCAGAAAAACATCACAGGAAGAAAAGGAGTGAAAGCTGCTTTAGCTCTTGGGTGGAACAGAAGCATTGACAGTTAAAGAACAATTTGCATTTTCATGACTAAATTTCTATTTACTCTATTTATTGGCAAACAGGCCAAAAAATAGTCTAGAATTTTGTCCTGTTCTCTTCCTTGCTGTTGCTCCTGAAGGGATGGTGCAAAAGAAAAACGATCTCTGTTTGGGTTGACTTGTTCTGTGGGATTCCCCAAAACAGGCAGGGATTTTTTCTAACGGTATCTGGTTCGTTCTCCTTTGCTCATTGCAGATAAAAGCGCCCATGGATACATAGAAGCCCATCCGTCGGTGAGTGGGAAAGTAGCCTTTGATGTTCCTAGTGTTTAAGAATTGTGGAGCAAGCCACGAGCTTTCCCTGGCTGATTTATGATTTTCCATTTGAGATCTTTTTAAAAAGATGAAAGTCTGGTTTAGCAGACAGAAGATTGCGGGCTGGTTTTAGCCATGGTGTATATCATTCACAACAATATGCAGCACCACCTAATGAGCCCATTTTAATTTAGTTTTCAAAATTTAGAATGCCATTTCTATCAATTTTCATGATTTCTCCTTAGTACAGCTAGATATATAACTGAATATAAATGAGGTTATAATTGATATGTAACTCACTGGAACCATTGAAGGAAAGTTTTAAATAACCATCCATTCTAATTAATGCTGGATTGCAATAGCAGTCCCAGAGATGTAGGAGTGACATACACATTAATACTGACCAAATTTATTAGGGTTATTGTTAGTGAATTGAATAGTAAGTGACTGAATGGGGATTTGGCTTTTATTTTAAAGTGTTAAGCAGCTTCATGTGAGGTTTGTGGTTCCACAGCCAACTGTGTATAATGAAATGAAAATCATCTTTGAATATTCACACTTCAGATTTTCAACCAATGCTACTTCCCTTATCGTTAATAAAACACACTTCTCAGAGGAAGTGTGGTGTTCACCAGAGCAGAGTAAGCCTTCCCAGTAGCTTTTCCAGTGGATATGGACACCTTGGCAGATGCTGTAGTATTTTGTCTAGCAGACAGAGGCAGTAGTGAGACAAGTCAGCATGACAGCTTTCCAAAATTACTGACTCGGGTCTCCCTGTTTGCTGTGGGCTTCCCTTACTGGTAGTTCTGCTGGACCAAAAGGATGGCATTTTAAAGAGAGTGACAGTCAGATGTGAATATGTTGAATGGTGCCTTTGATTTGCATCAGTTCTCCAAGTGGCCTGTTGGAGCCAGGCCACGTGGAGAAAGTGCAGTTTAAAGCAGTTGGTAAAAACATCAGAAGGTGCATTTCCATTTTTTTGTTTCATTGTTCATAGTTTTGTTTTTATTGGGATAACATTATCTAACCCCCTGCCTCTGAGTAGCAGCTGGGACTGGTGAAGTTCAATGCAGCTAAACATTTTAAGTGTTGTGCTGAGTTTAATTTAGAACTTAGGCCCATAGGAGCGTGTGCATGTCTAGATTGGTTTCTGATGTCTAGGAAGACTAAGGGTGTAGGTAGCTGTCAAAGCTTCAAAGTGCCGGGATAACAGCTGTCACTCACAGTACTGTCTGTCCACAGAGCACAAAAACAGCATCAGAACCTCCTCTGGCTCCCTCTGTGTCTGAAGAAGAGGATGAAGACGATGAAGAGGAGGAAGATGACAATGAACCTCCGCCTGTTATCGCCCCGCGGCCCGAACACACAAAATCAGTAAGTGCCAGCTTTGGTTAGGTCTGTGTTCAGTGCAGTGCAGAGCTGCAAGTTTGTTACCAGACAGCACTGAAGGGGCTGAAGGTGCTTTGGTGGAAGTCCTGAGCTTCACTCCAGACACTGCCTCTGGGAAAATCGGGTTTGAACTTTCACATTCACGTGGCAGTTTCCTGGGATTCTGGTGAGGGCCATGGCTTTCTTCTTATATCAGGGAAGAGGTACCATCATGTCCTTTAGTGCTGCAGGTATGAAAATGAGCAACTTTGTCCAGCTGTGCAGGCTCCCTGTCAGCAGCAATAGCTATCCAAAGATGCAGTTCATATCCTGGCAAGATACATAGGACACACTGTCCTCTGGAGGTACCTGCCTCTCTCCATGGACTATATCAGCAAATCCATGAAAATTGAACGTGAAACTGGCCATGAACTTGTAACCTTTCATTTTTGCTTGTTCAGTTTGAGAAGTGGGCAGCAAAACCACTTCTAGAGTCCTGGATGTGGCTGACATGATCTTCCTAAGGGTTTTTACTTGAAATATGATCTCAGGGGATCTCTGCCAGTCACCTTTCTGACACAAAATAATTTCTTGTCACAGATCTACACACGCTCTGTTATTGAACCTGCCGCTGCACCAGCACCAGCTAAAGAAGCCACCACTCCCCAGCCTGAAAACTCAAACACAAACACCCTGTACAGAAACACAGACCGGCAGCGAAAAAAGTCCAAGATGACAGATGAGGAGATCCTAGAGAAACTGAGTATGTATTGGGTATTTTGAGTCTGCTAGAGCAGTCTATTTCCTGCATGTGTCAGCATTAGCTGTACCAAATGTTTCTCGCAGTTTAGTGTCACAGAGTCATTTACAACTCCCTACAGAAACTGTTGTGCTTCGAGGCAGTAAGGGAACACTTGGGGTGTTCCTGCTGCCTCTGAGGGCAGCTGGGACTGGGTTGGGTTTGCCTGAGCTTCCTTCTGTGCTTAAGGCAAAAGCAGAGATCATTCTGGTTGAGCAAAAGGCTCTGACCTAGTGAATGATGTAGGGAACTCCTGAGTACTAATGGCCAAATGAAACAGAAAGTTTAGGTTCCTGAATTCTCTCTAGACCCTTAACTTCTCATGATTCATTGGAGTCAAAAATACTTTGCAAAAATCTGTTGGGTTTTTGTTTATGGGAGGTTTTTTTATTGGTGTGGGGTTTTTTACCAGTAGACAACTGCAGCACTAAACTGGTTCCTTCAGCTTCAGTGAGCTCTCCTTGAGATAGTTACACATTTTCCAGGTATTCTCTTGCTGTTCTTTTTGTAACTGTTACTGTTCCTCCTACTTCTACAGTTTGATTTTATAAGAATTTTACAGTTTTGTCAGTGAGCTCTCCTTTGGAAGAGCGATATCTGCTATATATTCCTCAGAAAACACAGCGTTTTCTCATGGCTAATTCTCAGCCAGTTAATACTATTAGAATCCTAACCATTGGCATCAACCCCCGTGCACATCATACTCTACTGAAGCACATCAGGCCCTTCCTGATTCTCCAGTGCAAGCAATTTAATTTGCTTCTTGCATGTGATAGCTGCCAGTGTAGTGTTCTCAGATTAAATGGTTGGGTTCAGAGCAGAGCCCAGGTTATTCTGTGTATACCATTAATTGTTAGTAAAAAAGGCAGATTGATCTACACCTCCTTCTGTCAGATCACAAAGCAAAAAATACGTCTTAAATGGAAGCAACTGCTTGTAATAGAGTGCTGTGTGGCTGTGGCTTTTTCTTGGTGGTTGCCATTGCTCAACCTTCTTGTCATATTTGCCCTGCCACTGATGGCTGCTGTGAATGCACAGGCTGAAGCCTTCCTTAGCTGTGAGATTTCAGCTGCTTGCATAGAGCTTCCTGCATCCTTACCAGGTTGACATGAATCTCAGTGACATTAGGGAGTATCCAAGGGATAAATTCTATAGCTTTAGCTGAGGGTGCAGTGAAATAAGTTCCAGAGAAGGTGTTTACCTGCAGGTATGTCAGCTTATAGAGAGAGGAATTCTGCTTCTTCAACTGATGTTAAATGTTTGAGGCATGATTCCCCCACTGAGATCTACAGGTACGCTCCATCCATGAGCTCAAGTATGAGCTGAAGTGTGATAAATGAGTATCAAGTATGATAAATGAGTATCATTTATTCAAGCTGCTGTATATGCCAGGTTGGGACTGAGCCTTGGAGTTTTTGGGGGTTGTATCTTTGAAATGTTACATGCTTTCATGCTTTTTCTTTCTTAACAATTTGTTACCAAATGAGCGAGGTCTGAATGTCTGCCTTAGGCAAATTGTGATGTCGGCAACTAAAATACTTTTGTGCTTTCATGAAGCTATCTGAGAACAGGCATGATACTTTTTTATTACAGTCTTGAACTAATTATATTTAAGCAGTGTGGTGTTTGTTCTGTTTTAACTCACATGACTGCTCCACCTTGCCTACTTCCCTCACAACTCTTTCTATGCTACTTTTAGGAAGATGTCCCCTGCCCTCTTTTATGTAAAATTGCTTTCATAATTCTTTTCTGCTTGAAATACCTTGAGTTCTTTTAGAGCTTTTAGAGTTTCATTAGTGAGTAAAGACTGTAATATTGAGATAAGATCAAATAAAATTTTGTCTGTAATGTAATCATGACTATGTTCCACTGATAACTATAAAACAGAACTGGCCCAATTCAGCTTTCTTAGTCACTTAATTTAGGACCTGATAATGCAAAGTGCTTAAAGATATCAAAATAGCTGATAGGTTTATCCTTTGTCCAGAGCAGGGAGTGCTTGTCTGATTAGGAGCTGTGTACCTGTCACTTTGTTGATTTTAATGCTGTAATGTTTGATGTATATTGGCTTAAGTACAGGGAACCAGTCACAAAAGACTGCCTTGGAAAAGCAGCTACTCAGGTCTTGAGGAAAAACTCTGCAAATCTGAACTTCAGAATTAGTTGGCAAAATTGGAAAATAATTTTCAAAAATTTTTCTTCTTCGATTCTTCTATGTATTCTTTTCTGAAGTGAATGAACTTCCATGAACTTCTGATATCTGTTCTAATAGATACACTGTTCCATTAACTTGCTGAAAATAGCACCTAACCAGGCACTGGCAGCACAGTGTTTTTCCTGTTGTCCAGCCCAGCACAGAATTAGAGCAGTGCTTGATTTACTCCTGCAGAGCCCATGGGGTTGTGAGCCACAGGGTGTGAGACAGTCCCCATGTGGGACAGTCTGACCCATCACCCATTGTGGACTTCATGTCACTGAAAGCTGAAGTTAAACCTTGCCCTGCTTGACACCTTCTTGCCCATTTGGAGATACTGGGAATCTGATGGGAAGGAAAAAAGCAGTAATTAGGATAATTTGTTTGTTTCTAATGAAAGAGCCAAAATCTGGCGGACTCAAATAAATTGAAAGGCTTAATTAAATAAACATTACTGGTTTTTCTGGTCTGGTAGTTTCCCTGATAAAATGCAAACAATGAAGCCTAAGGTGGCTTCAATGCAAATGTCTTCTAAGGACTTATCTTGGAATGTGCATCACAGAAATAGTTTAAGAAGATGAGTTCAGAAGTAAGACTTCAGTGATCTGCAGCATATTTCCTTTGTCTGATCTGGCTGTATCCCTGTATTCCAAATACAAACATATATTTGTTTACCTGTGCATCTGAAACAAAACTAGATGATGCACCATTCCCTCTTAGTAGTCACAAACGCCCCTTCCCCCTGTCCAGGCCATTTGTATGGAGCAGAGAGTTCTTTAGCATCCAAATGGGCATCTGCTAAATGCCTAGCCAGGAATCCTGCCTGCCAGCACAGCAAGAAGACAGAGCATCAGCACCATCTGGTACACTCCCTGCTGAAGCAATTTTGCAGCCCTTGGCAGGAGTGTTAATGGGAGCTGCAGGAGAAGAGGTTTCCTTTGCCCCACATGCTCACTCCCCTCACCCAGTGCTCCAGGAACGCCAGCCAGGGCTGATGCAGGGTGAGCGTGCTGCTGCCTGGCATGCCCACACAGTCTCAAGTGCCCTGAAGTGGTCCTGCCCTGCTGTGCCAACCTGCAAGAGTTGGATGGACTGGAGTGTTGGGAGCTCAAGCTGAGGATGTAGCACCTTCAGAACCTGGTTACCTTTTCATAGTTTCATCTCGCTGAAACGCATGGAATAAAACAAATCTCATTCTGCTTCTCTAGAGCAGGTCTACTACAAAATAACTCTTCACTAGAGAAGAATATGACTAGAGGAATCTGGGACTCCCTTCTAGCTGACTAGAAGGAGGGATAGGAGATGAGAAGGTGTAAACCTCCTGCTCACACTGTGGAGCTTGACCATCCCACTGCTGCTGCATGGAGCTTCCGGGAGGCAGCAGCCCCTTGTTTGGTCTGTTTTATGCATCATGGTCTGCTGGGCTTCAGGATCAGTATCCCTTTGGGCAGCTGTGTGTGTCACACCAGCGCCCCAGGAGCACTGCTGTCCTTGTTACCCATCCTGCTGGATTCAGGAGAACATGAACAGTGTGTGTGTGGTGGCAAGAGGGCGAGTCCAGTGTGAGTGATGGGTCTGTGTCACACTGAAAACCACCAGTGTGGTTCTTGAAATGGTGCAGGGCAGGAGTGCCTTCAGAACTTAGCCTGGAAACCAGTGATGGGGACCCAGGTTCTGAAACCCCATCATTCTTGATGGTAAAATGAGACACTGTTCATTGTAAACATTAAGGCATTCTTTTGGCCTGAAAGGTTGAGATGATCTCCTCCTTCTGGAAGCACTTGCAATACTCTTCCTGTTCCAAAAATGGTCCCTGTTCATAAAAAAGTGAACACAAGGCATATTTAATTTTCAGAAGTAGTAAACCTTTTGTTGAATCACAGTGTGTTTATTCCTGAGGAAATACCGGCACTGTTGTTCTAGCTCTCCTTAATGTTTATAGAGAACAAACACTTGCATTGGTACCTCTTGTTTTCTGATCTGTGTCTGTTCTGAATATTTCTCCTTGTGTTTAATTTCTTGTCAGAGTAACCCCAAAGGACTGTAGCAAATCAGTGTTTATGGAGGCCATCTGTGTTGGTACCCAGCTGACCACAAATGGCTCAAAGCCCCAGACAGTGGGGCTGAATTTCAGATCTGCTGGAAGGTGGACTCTCTGTTTTGAAATGAGAATCTTTCATTTTGTTTCTTTCAGGGAGCATTGTGAGCGTGGGAGATCCTAAGAAGAAATACACTCGATTTGAAAAAATTGGCCAAGGGTAAGTACAGTTACTTGTGCAAAACATGGGCCAAGTGTTTTGCTGGTGGAGCATCAAGCATGAAGATAGGCAAGCTCCAAACATGTTCAGAGGTTTAGATCCTCCTGTCTCTCAGTACTGATCAGAATTTATAACTGTGGTTGAAAGTAATCATGAAAGGCAACTTGATGCTGACAGTATCTCATCTGCAGCAAGGAGAAAGGCCTGAAAGATCTCTTGTCCCCCAAGTGTGTGGTTCTTGTTTGCTAATTTTCTTAGGAGAAATCATTTTTGTATGTCTCAAAATAATAACAATCATGCTGAAGAAAGGAGAAAAAACATTATTACCTAAAAGAGTAACTAACCACCTGATAGCTGTCATCTGACAGCTCTCAATGTTTATTTCAAATACTTGCTTTAAACAATATTCAGTGGTCAGGCTTATAACCACATAGTTTAGGAATTTAAATCAGAGATGAAATAATAAGCTCTTTTTTCTAGCAGGGGTAAAACCAAAAACTTCAGTAATAGACACAGTGCTAATGCACTTCAGAGGAAAATACATCATCTGCCTCATGGCAGATCCCTTGTGGATCTTGCAGGTTCTAGGCATTTATTGAAAATAATTACCCAAGCCATTCCCTTTTGAAACCCAACTTTGCTAACTGTAAATTGGATCAATTTGAGATATTTCCTATGTGAGGAGGCAAGATTACTTCAAAATCAGGTATATAACTTGCATTTTAAATACGGACTGCCTGAACCATTGGTGTTTCCTTGGCAGTGTTGTTCCAGGAGGACTGGCACCATCTGTGTAACACCAGGACACTGCTGTCAGTGTAGGACAGAAGCTGTTTACTGGCATCAGGAGATATTTTTCTGCCTTAACTGTTTGTGAGGTCTGAGCTCAGAGTAGGCTGTTGTTATCCTGGAATAGTTAATGTACTGCAGAAAGGCCAACACACAGGCTGTTTCTCTGGCAGGCTTTATATTAAATCTCTCTGGTTTGGTAGGACCCTTGTGGGAAGGTGTTTATGCTCCATTCATTGTATAAAAACCCTTTCTCAAACTCCAACTTGCTTCGTATCCAAAGCTTTGGTTCTAACTGTCATTTGTAAAATGTCAGTGGAAACTTCAAGCTGTACCTGTCTCTTAGAAAAGAGGTGTCAGCTGAACAAGTGGGAACAGAATAAATATGGGTGTGAAGCAGATTATTGCTGTGACTGTGAGAATGTGACCATCACCCTCACAGTCTTTTATTTTGATGGTCCTAGGAGTGAGCTTGTACAAAGGTGCCTTGACAACTGGTGGAAAGATAAGTGAGTGATATGTGGCCTAAGAGGGTATCTAAATGGATTTCTTCCAACTTTTAGTACAGCCTGAAGATTGCATAGCCTCCTTAGAGAGGAGTGTGCTGCAATAACTGACTCATGCCTCTAACGCTGCAGGCCAACTTACTGTGATAGGAAGAGATCCTAAAGGGAAAGATCATCAGAATCATCAATCAAACAGGATGATCAGGAGGACCCAAAACGCTGCGTGGCTAGAGTATGGGTGTCTGCAGCAGTGTTGGGCTGTGGCACTGCCTCGGCAGGTGCTGATGTGCTCAGTTAATGCAGGTGCCAGTTCCTGAGCTGCCACCACTGCAATGAGTTGGGTACAGCTGTGCCAAAGGCACGTGTAGTGTTGGAAGTGAGCAGGTTTTTAGTAGCTGCTAATGAGAGCACTGCAAGGCAGGGAGAGGTGTGGCTGCTCAGAGAACTGCAGGTAGAGAGCAGCTGCTTATGTAAGGAAAAGCAACTGGCCAGCACGTTGCACTTCATGGCTTCATCCAGCTGGGAAGGTAATACATACTGTGATGGTTTTACAGCCACTTTGCAGTGAACAGTAGTCAGCAGGCCTGTGCTGCAGTACAGGTCAGTGCTGAGTCCCTGTTTTGTCGTTTGTCTCCAGCTGAGCACTGAAAATGTTGCTGACATCAGAGGAAACTTGGTTTTAACTAGCACTTGATGAAGAGGTTGTGTTTGCTCAGGCATTGTTAGCTCTCGTCGCAAGACAAATTAGTATGGAGCCATGAGCAGCCTGTTTAGTTAGTACTGCACTGCATCACAGTGACACAGGTCTAATGGTGAGTCCTGCACTCGCCTAACTGCAGTAAAGACAAGGTGCTGCAGAACTGATTAAAAGTTACTGCTCAGAAATTAGTTACTTAGAAGTTACAAAAGTTTGTAATGCAGAATCGCAAAGCCTTTGCAATTAATTCACAGCTTTACTTAAATTACCTTTATCTAAACTCTTCACAAGTAGGTGGCCTGGAGCATTCCAAAAGCATTCTAATTTCAGGAGCTGTTTTGAAATAAAGCCTGATATGACTTTGCTCAGGAGAATCATCACAGTGTTAGCAATTCTGAACAAATGTTGTTGACTTCTTAGGAAAACAAATTGGATTAATCTTGTCAATTAGTCATAGGAAAATGCATTTGCCTTTATATTAAAAGAATGCATAGCATACCCAATGAGAATACTGCTCTCAATGCAGACATAAGGTCTCTGTTGAATTAAACTGCTTCTGAAATATTTCAGCCTGCAGGTAAGCAAACAACCAAGGGATCATGTGGAAAGGAGCAAACTCATTTTGGCACTTTCAGTCACTGGGACACTTGCAGGATGCACATTCCTGCTTGTGAGAATTCCCTCCCTGGCTCTCCATTGCTTCACTCCCCTGCAGACATGGGCTTCTTAAATTATTGTAGTGTAAAGCTGTGGTTTAGCTCAGAAGGAAGGGTTTTCAATCCCCTAGTTGCTTTGACACCCAAAGGAATTGCCTCTGACTGGGGCCTTTTCAGCCCTTCATGTCATTATTGGGAAGAGCATCTCTGAAGGAAAGGCAGATGGCAAACCATACCCCACCCTGTCTAGTCTGCAGGTGAGCACACCATTTGTTTCTGGTGGCTCTACAACACAACCTGTGTGTGCCACAGAAGCACGTGGACACCATGAAAAGTCCTTCACATGCTCGGTGCACTCAACAGAAGTAGCTGCCTACAGTTCTTGACACATGAAGAAGTTCTATAAGTATCCTCTGTTCTGAGTCCTTCTCAATTTGTGTGTGAAATAATAGATGCCTTAACCTGCTCTAGCTGTGACCTTGCAGGATGGCTGGAAAATTGTTTACTTGCATGCTGGAGAAAGCTGTATTTAGATCTTTTCCTCAAATGGCTGTCATATGTTCAGGGTTCTCAGAGTGACTCTGTGACATTGCCCGAGTTTGGCAGATGGATTCAATTTAAAGGTGTGAGAAGGCCCAACTGGATTGTGTGTTACATTTCATGGAAAAAAACACACTCACAGACACACAAAGGAAAAGGGGAGAAAAAGTAAATTCAACACAGCAAAATGGAAAATAATTAAACATACTATTTTCCAGTTTTTGTAGACATCCCCCCACTGAGGGTTTGAATTAAAATAATGTGGCATGTGAACTGGAGATTTGCACCAGCCCTTCTTCTTCATGTTGGACCTCAGTTTTCTCTGCATGGCAGAGGGCTGCCATGCTGTTGGCTGAGGAGTGGGTGAACCCTTATAAACACTCCAGGCAGCAGAGCTCTCCTGTCTGGGCTGGCTTTCACTTCCAGGGAAAAGTGTTTCTCAGTTTCTCCTGCTGTTTTGTTTCTAGGGCTTCAGGAACTGTTTATACAGCGATTGACATCGCCACAGGACAAGAGGTAAGTGTCAAAAATCCCAGCAGATTCTGCAGCTGTTGAGTGCTTTCCCCTCTGCTGTGAGCTGTGGCTGGAGCTTTGGGTGGCCAGTAGGGCTTTCCTGCAAAGGCTGTTTCTCTGAAGCATAGACAAATGTCAGCTGGCAAAATCCATCATCTGCTGTCTTCAGCTTTTCAGTGACAGGACTTTAAGGGCAGTGTGGTTCTGTGTGCCTCAGTAACTGAACACTTACTGTGGCCATGTGCTTTCCAGCAGCACTGGATCTGAGGCTTTCATAAATGCCTGAAAAGGTGCCTGTGAATTCCTAGAATCAGTAAGAGCTTTGGTCCTCTGTGCTTGGCTGGGTGCTTCACCCATAGCTTTTAAGGCCAACTTTAAGAGATTAATTTTTTTGCTTACTCTGTCTTCAGAACAGCTTGGTGCTCTCCACGGTATTGTTGATCCCACCCTGGTACCATGTTACATTATCCCTGAATGTTTTAATTAATGGAGAGAAATCTGCTAAGAAATCCCAGCAAGCTTTTGTGCCAATAAAAAGTAGATAATTTTTATTGCCAATATAAATGTATTGGTTTAGAAATTTTTCTGTCTCTGTTCCCCACTGTGCATCAAGTTGTGCTTTTCAGAGAATGTTGGTTTAGATACACAATTTAACTCTATACATTTATACCATAAAACTTATTTGTGGATGTGCCCACAGACTGGTTAGCAATGCAACTGGTAAAATCAAAAGATCGGTTGTGATTAGAGGCCTTGGGGGGACACTGGAGGTGGCCACAGACTCTCCTGTTGCTGTGAGGGATAAATAGCTTTGTTACATTGCTTGATTTCAGAAAGACTTTGTCCACAGAACTGCCAGAAAAAAGGAGGGCAGCAGTATCTGTCCGAGAAGGACATGGTCTCACTCTTAAGTACTAAATCTGTTAAGGCATCCAGCACTGAAGGCAACTGACATCGTTCAGGCCCAATTTATCTCCATCCCAGGTTCAGACAGTTGCATGATAATACCATTTGTTCCATCATGTGTTTGGCCATAAAGTATAATCAAGACATAATTAAGGAGAAATCACATATTGGACTCGGTTTCATGTTTCAGTCCTGCTGCACCTGGTAAGAAATCAGGTGTGTTTTGGTCTGGTCTCAGTGACAGTCCATTACAGTGATCATATTAGTAAAAAACAGATGAGGCCATATCTCAGAGAATCCCACTGCTCTTTGGGGAACCAGCTTCAGATGATTGAATTCTCATCTCTGGCTCCAAGAAGAGATTCGGATCTGAATCTTGCTGGTAATTCCTTACACACCTGCTGTGCTGCAGTTGGTAACCACACTTAAATTGGGGTCTCCAAGGGGTCTAAAAGTCCTAAGCCTTCCTTACAACCCTGGGCATATCCATAAAATATCAGTGCATGGCTTATTTCTTTTTAGACCCTGACAATAACTGCAAATGTAAGCTGTGTTAAAAAGTGTTCTTTAGAGGAGTAAATCAAAATTTCAGAAGTTGTGAAATGCTAGGATTGTTATTTTTGGTTGTGGAACAACATCCATAATGTATGTCTGTGTTTGTTATGCAATCAAGAATAACAGGTAATACAATCAAAAATAATGTAACTGTCCACTGCATGTTCATTCTGATCTTGTGCAACAGACTACTCAGGTTAATGGTTTTAAATGTCATTTTAGGTGGCCATAAAGCAAATGAATCTCCAACAGCAGCCCAAAAAGGAACTAATTATCAATGAAATCCTGGTCATGAGGGAAAATAAGAATCCCAATATTGTTAACTATTTAGACAGGTAAGTTGTTCTGGTATTATCACATGAATGTTCATTTACACACTGCAGGCCAAAGGTTAAAAAAAAACCCTTTGATTGCTGCAGAACGTGGAGCTCTTTATTATTTCTCTACTCATCTCCAGTGGATGGGAGGAGATTGCATTGGCTCTGCATTAGTATTTTCTGGCACACATGGTTTGAAGTTGCATTTCAAAAACCTGGACCAGCCATATCTTACTGGAACAGCAGTCTGTCAGCTCCATGTTCCAAGTATTTCCATGTTGTTTTGTTGTTCTGGTGTTTGTTTTTTTCAAAGTTGATCAGATTTTCTGTATCTTGTGCAAAGTGCTGACAAACCATCCTGGAAATTGTTTCCTTTTGGTGGTTTCCACTATTTTCCATTCCTGGGGATGCCAGGAAGACTAAGTTCTTGTTTCCAGAAGGGCCTGATTTGACAGTTTTTTGCTTTTGCTATTTCTGAATGTATATTTTGCAAGATTTTCCGAACATTTGACCAACTTCTGTCCCAGTGATACACACTCTCCTCCCCATGGATAACTTTGAAAGTTATGTTACCTCATTCCTGGGCTTAATGGTGGAATTCATGAGTTAAGATGATGAGCTGGCTGGTGACATGTGTCCTGGTTCCAGATTTATCTTTGCTTACTTATCTTACTAAAGTACATTCTTCACTTTCTTGTCACCTAAGGTATCTCCTTTTTCCACTGTGCAGATTCCAAGAACTGTGTAGCCTAGAATAATGTTCTTTTCATTTTATTCTGTCTTCATTTGCAAGTGACCTGGAGACAAGAATCATTTGTACGTTATGATTATTCATTAGTTTGGCTATGCACATTCATCTCCACAGCATTATTTTCTCCTTTCAGCTACCTTGTTGGTGATGAACTGTGGGTGGTGATGGAGTACTTGGCTGGAGGCTCTTTAACCGATGTTGTCACCGAGACATGTATGGATGAAGGACAGATTGCTGCTGTGTGTCGGGAGGTGAGGGATCCCACTTGTGATTCTGCTTGTGTGGACATGGTGATGCTTCTGTTTCTGTGGTGTTGTCATTATATGGAGAAGAAAGAGCAGATCCACTGCAGCAGCTGTCATTCTGTCTGTGTTTGCAGGGGACATTCTGTGGCAACAGTTGATGTTTCCCTTTCAAAAGCTAGTATGTGCCTTCCCCTAGAAAGACATGACTCTAACAGTGTTGGAGCAGCAAGCTCTTCTCTTGGCTGCACTGTGTTCTGCCATTCCTCACCATTCCCCTAGAAAGGACATCTCATAAAACCATTTCCTTTCTCATGTGATGAAATTATGTAATGAATTTCTATCCTTACATTTCTTTGTTCTCTTATCAGTGCCTGCAAGCCCTGGATTTCCTTCATTCCAACCAGGTTATCCACAGAGACATCAAAAGCGACAATATTCTTCTTGGGATGGACGGATCTGTCAAATTGAGTAGGTATTCTTGGTCAAGTGCAGCATTCCTGGATGTGGGGTGTGGGATTCCTTTTGAGTGAAGGCCAGTTCTGCAAAAGTGGTGCTGGTGGGAGTGCCTGGACCCCTGCTGTGAGGGCAGAGCTGCAATGTGCAGAGGGGTCCAGAGAGAAACAGGGTGTCAAGAGTGGCTGTGCTTTGTGTGTGACTCTTCCAGAGTGGAGGGAGCTACAGTCTAAAGCTTCAAGTGATTGAGTAAAAGCTGGTTGATGAAACATGAGGGTTTCTTTAAGTGGCCAATTCCATATTACCTTGGCTATAGCCCTGAGGAAACACAGCACGGCTGCTCTTCTGGTTTCCACAGTGCATTCTCAGACTTAAAGTGGGGGTTCTTTTGCTTGATTTTGTAATTCAAGCTGGCTTTAACAGTATTTGTTTTTCTCCTCAGCTGATTTTGGCTTCTGTGCTCAGATCACCCCTGAGCAGAGTAAACGGAGCACAATGGTGGGGACTCCTTACTGGATGGCTCCAGAAGTTGTAACAAGAAAAGCATATGGCCCCAAGGTGGACATCTGGTCGCTTGGGATCATGGCAATAGAAATGGTGGAAGGAGAACCTCCTTACCTTAACGAAAATCCTCTCAGGGTAGGGTGAAATATCAGATACTGCTGTCTTCGTAATTTGTACCATATTTTGTCTTCCATTAAATAAAATCCCATTCACATCAGCTTGTACGAGTTCTACAAAGGCCCACTTCTAAAAATGTTCCTGCAGCACATCTGCATCTGCTGTAGCTTTGATTGCATCGCTGTGATAACCTCAGACTCAAAGTGACATGTACCTGTGCAGAAACTTGCCACTATGACCTTCAGCGATGCTTGAAATTTCTCATTTTTGAGTTCCCTTTTTGAACTCTCTTCGAGCTGTATCTCTGAGTGACAAAAATTTTCAAGTGCCATGCTTCTCCAGTTGGGGAATTTTTATGATAAGCATTGGAGCTGTACCTGCAGGCACAAAACTCTCTTCAGTCTCAGACCAGTGCTGATTGATTACCTGAACCTTCCAGGAAAGATCACTGTTCTAGTAATGCCATAATTATTTATTATCAAACACATTCCTAAAAGTATCTTTTAGCACAGATACTTGTAGTAAACTAGTATATTTTGAAGTTTTCAGTTTTATCCTAATGTCTTAAAATGAAATGGCCAGTTTTTACACCAAATGAGTATGTAGTAGTGGAGGAATGTACACCAGGATAAAACCTCATGACTAACAGCTGAAACAACATGCTGCACAGTTAATTCCTGTGGGAATTTATGGGAAAATTAATTTTTACCTATATGTATGCATACATATGTTTTGCTAAGGCTAGAATTAAAATAGAGCATGATCTTTAGCTTTTCCATGCTGTAAGGTTGTGCTTTCTCTGGTTTGTGGCATCCAGACTGTGTATTGCAGACTGACTGTACAGAAGGGTCAGGACATACCTCCCAGCTGCTTGAGAAAAGAATACACCAATTATACAAATTTCATTCTTTAAATTATACAAGTCTTTCACACTTTTTGGAAAAGGTTCCTGAGTTTTCTTGAAAGACTTCCTTTGGTTTGATAGGTTGCCTGGGGTTTTTGGTTCCAGGCACACATGTGGAGTGTTGCATACTGTGTCACCTTGTTAGGGTGGATAAGAAATAAACAGATTTGGGTTCAGAGGGGTGCTGAATAAGCAGAGTGCACTGTAGCTGGCAGGGTGGCATTAGGCCTCTGTCACTGTAGCCCTGTTATACCAGCAGAGACCTTTGCACATCACAGTTTTGCTTCTGTTGCCTGAGAACCCATATTTCACTTGCAAAAAAGGCAGTTGCCTTGTATAAGGCAGTAAAAGCAGGTGAAAATAATTAGCATTATTGATCTGGATGCTGAAAATTCCCTGCTTCCTTAATCTGAAATGTTGATTAGGACTCCTCAAGAAGCCTCAGGTCAGCTGTTAGAAAGATAGCTGGATTTCCTGTTTCTGACCAAATTCACAGTCAGATGTGCTTGAGATCTGTGTAAGAGGTCTCAGCTGCCTACAAATAGAAGAGCTTATAAAGCAAGACTGCTTTTTACAGCAATTTTTTTTTTAGCTGATAATGCACACTAGTTGTTGGATTTCTGGGATGGGGATGTCATTAATGCATTTACTTGAGTATTAAAATTAGTGGAGGGTTACCATAGGGATGGAATTAGTCCTTTTTCTGATGAGACTATTAAGTTTTACCACATAAGTGAGGCTGATTTGGAATTTGAAGACTGCTGAAAGATAGTTGAAGGTGGGTCCTGTCTGCCCAATTATGCCTTTTCATCATAATATATTTGTGCATACAGCTTGACATGTCTGTTGAACATGAGACTTCAAATGTTTCTGGACTTTTTATCCAAGGTATAAGCTGGATTTATTCTTCTTTTTTATCCAGTAACCATTTTTTATCAAGAACAGAGCAAAAAAACTTGATTAATTTTGTTTTATGGAAGCCATACTTTAGGGACCAGTGAACGCTGCACAGATGCATTTTGTGTAATAATCACTTGAAATAATATATTTAGACCACACTGACTCTTTAAAATGGCCTGTAAAGCTGTGTCAATACTTGGAGAAGTAAAATGTGCTGATGTAGTTCCTGCTAACCAAATCAGCCAATGAAATCAGCTGTCAAGGCAAGATCATTTTGATGTTGGAATAGCTGTGACTGCATCAGGGTCTTTTGGGGGTTTTTTGTTGTTGTTCTTGATATATGAAAGTCATCTCCAAGCCCTCTGCCAGGGAAGAAACTGCCAGTGGAGATTGGAGCTTAAAAATGGGGTCTGTGTGAGTATTTCTGGGTATGAATGAAACATACCTGTTTGCTTTGTCTCCAGGCACTGTATCTGATAGCTACAAACGGGACACCAGAGCTGCAGAACCCAGAGCGACTCTCGGCCGTGTTCCGAGACTTTCTTAACTGCTGCCTGGAGATGGACGTGGACAGGCGAGGGTCTGCCAAGGAACTTCTGCAGGTAAGATAGGAAGCACCTGCTAACAGGTGAAACAGATGTCCAAGGGATCAGTTTTCTCGTCAAATAAAGGCATCAGGTGGTTCTCCCACATATTCATCTCCAGTCTTGGTGCTTTCAAGTGAAAACTAAGTAGAATCCTATAATGGTTTAGGTTGAAAGAGACCTTAAAAAATCATCTAGTTTGACTGAGCTGGGATCTTTTAAACTAGGTCACGTCACCCCATCTAGCCTGACCTTGAATGTTTCCAGAGATGGACTTCCACCTACAACATCCTGGGCAACCTGTACCAGTGTTTCGCCATTCTCCTTGTAAACAATTTCTTAATTAGATCAAATCTAAATTGATCGTCTTTGGGTCGAAAACCAGTCCCTCTTGATCTGTTGCAGCAGGCCCTGCTAAAAAATGCATCCCCAACTTTATTACAACTTTATTTCCCCTTGAAATATTAAAGAGTTGCAAGTTGACATCTCCCCAGGGCCTGCCCTTCTCCAGACTGAACAAGCCCAACTCTCTCAGCCTTTCCTCAGAGGAGATACGTTCCATCTCCTGGTCATTTCTGTGGCCCTGTTTTGTACTTTTGGGAGTAAATTCAGGTTTAATTCTTGATAAAAGAACTGAAGTAGAATGATACCAGGTATAGAGGCCTAAAATGGTGTTGTTGGGGGAGGGACCCAGTAAAAGCAGTCCCAGCCAAGCTGTCAGAGATTTGGCTGTGGGGAGATCACTGTGAGCCTCAGAGGGGGCCCCAGATTGTCTCTCCTGCTCCTCTCTTATAGGTTTCTGCCACTTAGCCCCATTTTTAGAGGTTTCTGCCACCCAAAACAGAGACAGCTGAACAGGACTTGTCCCAGCCCTGTTTGCTTCCTGGCAGAGTCAAGCTGCTTGAGCTTTGCTGGCAGATTTTGTGGCAGAGAGGGAGCTGCAGAATATGCCACTTGACTGTCCCTGCTGGGAAGGAAAGTGCCAGCCAGCGCAGGAGGGCCAGGGGATGGAAAGGTAGACAGTGCTCTCCCTGCAAGCCAGAGCTGAGGCCATCAGCACTCTGCCACTTGTCTCCCTGCTCCTGACTTGCTGCTGAAAACCTGTACCTCAGTACAGGTCTCGAGAAAACACATGAGCCTTAATCCTACTGGGTTAAGTATTTCTTGGATGTATTGGAGTTTCCTATGGAATTACTTTCACGCGTCTTTTTTGACAATTAGCACAGTTTCTATCTTTAGAAAGGGGGAATCTAAGTGAGTCTTTGGAGTTTCCTGAAAGGTACAAAGCTCTGGAGCAGCAAGCAGCATTCCCAGAGGAATGGCAGGGCAAAAATCCCAGCAAGCTGAAGACACCTGGAGAAATGGATTGACAGGTGTGGGGGCCATGTGATAGCAGTGTCCTGGACATGAAGGTGGAAGTGCAGATGATCCCCTCAGTCCTATTTCTGAGTATTTCTGGTAACAAGTGAAATCCTGGTTGAGCCTATGAGGAACTGAGTTTGGAAAGTAATGGTACCTTTGTTGTTTCTTTTCCTTTGGGCAGCATCCATTTTTAAAATTAGCCAAGCCGCTCTCGAGCCTGACTCCTCTGATCATTGCAGCGAAGGAAGCAATTAAGAACAGCAGCCGCTAGCACTGCAGGTCGGCTTTCTGCCCTGCCAGCTCAGAGCAGGACTGAGAACACAAACTCTCTAAAACCTCAACTCTCATGCTGCGGGACAGATGGATGGATGAGCAAACCAACGGTCACAGTCATGGTGGTAGGACCACCCCAGTTCCTCAAGGAGTAGAAAATTATCATTTGTCTTCTTCCTGCTTTCTGGCTCCTTAATTTATTTTTAAGATGAATCGGGGCTAAGGACAGAGAGGTAATGACAGAAAATGCTTTGCTGCCTCAATCATTTCCAAGGTAAAGCAAATTCAGTTGGAAGATTCCCTTCCTTCTCACCCTGTGAATAAGCTGTACATTCACTTTTAAATTGTCAGTTCTTTCTTAACGATGTAAAGTCGTGTTTATGGGGTTTTTGGTATGGTTTGGAATTTGAGAAGGGCAATTCTTCATTCATCAACTCCAGACTGCCTTTTGAATACAGCCAACTTGCCAGTTTCTGCCCAGTTGTGGTACTTCTACATGAGGAAGAAAGTGCAATTGCATTTCCAACAAAAAAGGAATGAAGAGTGGGACAGACAGAACATCCTGTGGAGACAAGGCGTTCAGCTGGGACTGTGTAGTGGTTTGTTTCTTGCCAACTGGATTTGTACCCCTAACTGCAATCTCTTTGCCCGGGTGAGAGTCTTACTCAGCTGAAACAGCAGAACGATTAGTTGGTTCAAACCTGAATCTCAGAACAGGTTTGTCTGATGCAAAGCTGTCAAAGCAATGTGAGGGGAGAGTGGGCCCAACCATGCCTGGGGCTGAGCCCCAGCAGAGCCCTGGCAGAGCCCAGATGAACCTGAGCATTGGCAGGCTGGAAGGAGGTGCTGGTAGCAGCAAGTGGCAGCAGCCTGGCCATGGGTGCCTCTTCCTGGGACAGGACTAATCCTCCTGTCTCAGAGCCAAGCTGGCTGGGGGTTGTTTTCCAGGGATATCGTGGCCATGCTGAGAAATGCACAGCCTGGTGGGATTTGCCATCCTGAGTCTCTGCAGGAGTAGAGAAGAGCAAACACAGCAGAGTGGTGGTGTCGCTTCTGAGGGTGCCTGTTCTTCTCCCATCTGTCTTGTAGCTCCTGGGAAAGATTCCTAGTGTCTGCAGAATTCTCAGCAGAGGGGGAGGGGACCAGACTGCTCTGCAGGCTCCTGCACAGGTGAGCATCCTTTAAACACAGGAGTTCTGCCTTGGGAACCAAGACTAATGCAGGGAACAACCTGCACAGTTCAGATCTGCAGGAGCCAGTGCAGCAGCCAGCTCTGGAAGAAAGCGCCTTAAAACCTGGAGTTGTGCACTGAGCAAGAACAAAGGTGTGAAATGCAAAGTGGAATTAATTGCAGAATTACTTGGAGGCACCAGACCAGCCTGCTTTCTGCTGTCCTATGTATGGCAAGCACTGTGCAGTGAAGCTCTTGAGTTCCTGCAAGAGATGGAATTGTGGATGTGCCTGCTTGACTAGTCAGCAGATTTGGAAGGGAGCAGAATACTTTCAGTATGCAATTTGTGTTTTATTTATTTGTTTCTGAAAGACACAGTGTGGCTTCACTCAGTAAAAGCATTTGCATGGCGTATTTGTTGCTGTATCTTAGGAGTACAACTCATGCAAGACCATCAAAACAGCAACTGAAGCAACATGCACCCAGTGAGCAAAAAAACCCTCACAGTAAAACAGCTTTCTGCTATAGATCTTCACGTTGGCCTGATCCTGCAAAGGGTTAAATAGCCTTTAAGGCTTTCGCCACCTTCATGTCTGGCCAGCAGGAATGAAGGATGCTTGGGCTGTTCTTGAATCAGGCCAGGAGCATATCTAGCTTTGGCATTCTCTTGAGTTGCAGTCTTTGCGTGGCAAATGTCCTTACTGCTGCTGCCCTCGCTCGTGCTGCCACCGCAGTGTCCTTGGCAGAGGCAACCCTCCTTGAGTTACCACAGCTAAGTAGAAATTAACTTTTCTTCATTTCCTGGGGAGCACAACAGGTCCGATCTTTCAGATGGCCAAATAACACACTGAGGGGAGCAGCTCTGGTTTCCTGGACTGGGGGAACGTCGGGAGGAGCTGAGGGAGCTGCCAGGAGCCCACAGCTGGAGCGGCAGTGGTTGACAGGAGCTGGAGCAATGGCTGCCAAGCTTTACCCTCATAAAAGGAGCTCCTGGGCAGTGAGAGTGGCCAGGACAGGCTAACAGGCTGTAGCACAGCAGATGGTGCAGGAAGGTGCACACCTTGCCAGCTTGACCAGGGAGCAATGGTGTCCACCCAGCAGGCGGCCATGGCTTCTCCAAGTTTTGCACCCACCACAACCCCTGCAGCAGCAGACAGAGCTCTGGTGGGATCGGGCTGCCAGCCAGGTGTCAGCTGCAGGCTGTGCCCTGCTCTTAGGCCAGTCCTGGTGGCACCAGCAGCACAAGTACAGCTGTGGGACATGTGCCTGGGGAGAGGAACTCCTCCACTTTGGGCCAGAGCTATGCCAGAAAGCAAATGGGGCAGGAATTTCCAAGCTCACTGAGCCCCTTTCCATCATTTACCAGCAGTCCTGGCTAAGTGGGAGATCCCATGTGATTGGACTATGGCAAATGTGACATTGTTCTACATGAAGACCTGGAAGGAGAATCTTGGGAATTACAGGTCTGTCACCCTGACCTCAGTGCTGGGAAAAGTCACGGAGCAGATCATCTGGAGTGCCATCACATAAAGAACAACCACAGGATCAGGTCCAGCTCGTGTGGGTTTGTGCTAACTGGTGCTGCCTGACCAGCCTGATCTTTCACAAGAGGTGACCTGCCTAGGGCATGAGGGGAAAGGCTGTGGATGTGTCTCCCTGGAATTTAGTAAAGCCTGTGTCAGTGTTTCCCACACCTTTCTCCTGGAGAAACTGGCTGCTCATGGCTTGGGAAAAAACACTGTTCTCTGGGAAAAAAAAACCTGGATGGATGGCTGGGCCCAGAGAGTTGTGGGGAATGGAGTTATATGCAGCTGGGGCTGTCAGTAGTGGTGCACCAGGGCTGGGTAATGGAACCAGTTGTGTTCAATATCTGTATCAGTGATCTGGATGAGGGGATCAAGGGCACCCTCAGGTAACACCGAGCTGGCAGTGTTGATGTGCTGGAGGACAGGAGGGATCTGGACAGGCTGGATTGCTGGTCCAAGGCCAGCTGGATGAGGTTCAACAAGGCAAAGTGTCAGATCCTACACTTGGGTCACAACATCCCCCTGCAGCTCCAGGCTTGGGAAAGAGTGGCTGGAAAATGCCTGGTGGGAAAAGACCTGGGAGTGCTCGTTGAAAGCAGCTGAGCATGAGCCAGCAGCACACAACTACCTGAGAAGAGGTTGGAGCAATGGGGGAATCAGTCTCTTTGCCCAAATAACAAGCAATGGGACAAGAGGAAGTGGCTGCAAGTTGTACCAGGGTAGGTTTAGATCGGATATAGGAAAAATCTCTTCACCAAAAGGATGGTCAAGCATTGGAACAGGCTGTGCAGGGCAGTGGTTGAGTCACCATCTCCAGAGGGATTTAGAAGATTTGTAGGTAGGGCACTTGGAGACAGGTTTATTGGTGGGCTTGGCAGTACTGGGTTGATGGCTGGACTCCACGAGCTCAGAAGTCATTTCCAACATGAATGATTCTGTTCTGTTTAGAAGACTTTGTTTCTCTTGTGAGGTCCCATTTTTGTCTGTCAGCTCAAGACCTGTGTCTGTAGGAGAAGCTTCCTTGCAAAAGAGTAATTTGGGCTGTAGATGGGCTGCCCTCAATGTGTGAAGCATTCAGCAGAATGAAATATGTTTGTATTCCTGTAAGAAGTGAAGAAATGAGTGACAGTTTCTGTTTCCAGTATGTATTTTATTTTTTCCTATCCACAAAAGAACAGACAGCCATCCTGTAAAAGGAAAGCACTTTGTAATGGCACATGTTTGCTGGACATACAGTCTAAATACTTCTGTTGACAAACTGCTCTATTCGATTGGGGAAGGGGGGAATTTCCTATTTATTTTCTTTACCTAGAAGTATTTCAGCATCTCTACTTCAAAAAAAAACCCACCACCATAGCTTTCCACAAGTTAGCAGGTATGAAAAATAAGGAAATCAAATGGTAGCTTTTTTTTGTAATCAGTGTATGCCTCAGCATACAGAATATTGTTGACACTGACTTTTTAAAGACAGCTGCTGTCCTAAGAGGCCTTACTTTTAATTTTATTAAATATATTCCTTTTTTTTTGCATCAGAAAATTTAGAGATTTTAATTTTAAAACCAGTTCCTGGGAGGCAGACAACATTCAGCAGAAATAATCTGTGCCTGTGGCTGTTTTCAGCACAGACTGTACCTGCCCAGCTGAGACTGTATGACATGCAGGGAACGTACCTCCAGTATCCCTGTGGCTCTGTGCTTGGACAGCCTGGTGCTGATTCACACTCACTGATACTGAAAGATGGCAGCAATGTTTGTATCCTCCCAGCCTGGATATGAAATGTAGAAAAGACACAAGTATTTTTTAAAAACCCAACAACACAAATCCAGTCCTGTGGGGGGTCAAGTCTTTTACATTATTTAAAGGCTCACAGAGTATATTAGGACTGACAATGGCATTGGCCTTGCAGAAAAGAAAGAAAAATCCTGTAAAAGCTCTGGAGCCACCTCGGGTTTTCTGGCTGCTATCCTCAGATCAGGCAATTAGTTATATATATATTTGAAGTATTAGAAATAGTCTGTTTCTGTTACAAAATGAAAAGTAAAAGTTTCAGACACTTTTATTCTAAGATTTTAAAAGATTGGTTAATTGTCTTCATTTTTAAATTAAACAGTGAAATACCCTAACCAAGAACTTGACTATGATTCCCATCCCTGCAATGAAGACATGTGAAAATGAGCCAGTAGCTCACTGTGGTTTACATGTGTTTTGGGACAAAAGCATGGTAGCAGTAAAGTCAGGGAAGTTTGAGAAGCACAGAAACGTTTATTTATTTAAGAAAAAAGAAAAAAAAAAAGGATAACCATACCTATGTAAAACTCCATACAGCTCCTGCATGCACTCCTGGGAACCTGCACGGGGGTGGATCTTACAGTGCTCTCAGGGTTGGATCCCAAACTTGGGCCGGGGTTACATTCTCACTTCTTGTGTCCAGTGCTTTTGTAAATATATTTATTCTTCATCTTTGGCTAATGGTTGGCCACTCCACTACACACAAAAGAACTCAAGGGTTTGTGCTGAGTTTCTTTGAGGCCTGTGGCTGCACTTTGGCAGGTCTTTGAGTCAGGTCTTCCCTGTGTCCTGCCACCAAAAATTAAGCACATTCCAGTCACCATTAGAAGGGAAGTACCTGTCTCCTGTCCTCTAGTCGTAGGAAATGTCACTGTCCTCTATTGTCCACGCAGCAGTTATTTCCAGTATATAATCCTTGGTGAGCATGTAAATATTTGTATTTCTTAGTCCAGTCCTGAGCAAATCCAGTGAGCAAAGAGCCAGAGAGAGAGAAGAGAGCCTTGTGACATCTACCATTAAAGGAAGGAGTCAGTGTTTGTTTTACACCCAGGACATGCATTCAGGTGCCAGCTTTGCCTTGCTAAGTGCTGCCAAGTCAGTGGTCCATTCACCTTCCTGGTGTTCCTGCTTCCTCTTGGACCGTTCATTCATGCCCAGATGTGCAGCAACTTAATGATGGGTTGATGAAGACCTATAAATGTTCATCTCCTTTTTTTTTTTTCCTCTCCACTCCCCATGCCAGGTAAATATCTCCAGTTTTATCCCAATTCTTCAGGAAGCAGACAGAGGATAAACTTTGTTGTTCAAGAGAAATCATCCGAGCTTGTTTTGAGTGTGATTTGCAATTCAGGGATCTTTAAAACTTCTCTTTACTTGTGTCTGTCCTTGAGCTGACAGGGTAATTTTATTTTTCTCACTGAAACTTGCAGAATTTCACTTATCCATCTGTCTTTGGATGCAGTTTAGAGGTGATTGCCATAATACTGGATATGCATCATGCCTGCAAACCATCCCTGGCCTGAGCCTACCAACAGTTGCGTGTACCTTTGGTTACAAGAGTTATCTCAAAAGGAGAAATGGTCTTACAGCAAAGAGGAGGAGGGATGCCCATATGCTCTGTGTGGGTGCCCTTTAGGCTGCCACGTGGGCACAAGCCTGCAAACCTTGTTCTTGCTGCTTAGCAATTCCCCCCGGCAAGCACTTGAGTTCTGTGAGAATCTGACCCTGACTGAGGAATCTGGGGCAATACCATTAGTTAAAGTTGATAATACTGAAAACTGATTTAATTATTGATTGGGCAATTAATTGATTTAATTGCCTGTGATCACAGTGACTTTGCCCTGCACAGTTTTCAAGCAGACCACACATCAGCTTCAGCACCTGTGTGTAACATACCTTCTGCTGTGTTTGGTGGCACCATGTTTGCAGCTGCACCTGCCTCACCCAACTTAGGGGCAGAGCCAAAAGGAGCAGGGTTGGGCACCATGGCCTGGGTTGGCAGCCATGAATGCAGGTCAGGAGAGCTGTCAGACACGTGTGCACACACCTTTGAATCACAGCTCTGCACTGGACTAGTTTTGTCTCTCTTTCTGTGCCCTTTGGTCCCCCTGTGCTCAGTGGCTGCTACCCAAGACTATAATTGGCACGGATAAAATGGCTGAGACCCTCATTTCTCTGTCCTTTGAGCTGCCTGGTCACAGCAGCCTTTTCCATATGGACACTCTATTTGGAATGGGAGCCCCCACCTCCGTTCCTTGCAAAACCCCCAGGAGCCCAGGGCTGCCATCTGAAGTCAGTGCACTGAGGGCTCCCAGATGCCTCAGGCTGGTGTGACACCACTGCAAATGGGAGGGAATAGTGGCAGGAGGTTGTTTTGAAAGGTTCATTTGCTGCTGCATGCTGTGTGTGTCCAGCCCTGCCCCAGGCTTAGGGATCAAATTCAAGCACTGCTGCTGCTCCCTCTGGAGTCGGTGAGAATTTGGTTGTTGCTTTCAATGACAGCTGAAGTGGCTGCTGAAGCAGCAGGTGCTGACAGTGCCCCGGGCTGGAGGGGTCCCTGGGTGGGCAGGAGCTGCCCCTTTTTCTCACTCTGCCTCACACAAAGCTGTGCCGGTCACAAGTGGATCAGCACAGCAAACAGGCAGCCTGTGAGTCTCTCCCACCTTGTCTCTTGAGATTTTTGACCTTTGAGCTTAAGCTGTACAAAGGCAACTGCTTTTGGTGCCTCTGTGTATCCCCACGGTAACCAATGCTGCTAAATCCGTCTGTAGCACAGCAGGGGGAAAGGCCTCAGCCCTGCAGGAGCTGCCTGAGCCGCTCAGCCAGCAGGAAGGGAGCTGCTCCTCACGGGAACCAGGAGCAAAGGGCCGCAGCACCTGGTTCTGGGGCAGAGCCCGGATCCTGGGGGGAACATTGACAGAGCTATCCTCGTGCACTGCAGCTGCTGTGCCTGCGAACACATGGTCCGAGACCTGCAAAAGAATTCTGCAACTCTTGGCTGGATCAGGATGTCACCAGTGCTAAACTCTAGTTTAGTCCAAAGCAACCAGTTTACACCTATGCTGGTGTGTGCTAGATTTTTTTCTTCAGGGTATCCAGACAAAAGTGAACAGAGGAGGAGCCTACATTTTCATTGTTTATCAGAAATGTATCTCATTTTGCTGTACATTCCTTTTTTAGGACGTGTTATCTGTTTAAAAAAAAAAAGAAAAAAGAAAAGAAAAAACAGAAAAAATATGAACGAGAAAAACAAAAAACAAATGTGTAGTGAAAAAATCTTCTGTAACTTTGGATTAAGAGGTAACTGATCTTTTTAAAAAGAGAACTAAGTTATTTACTTTGTAAATGTGCTGATGGCATGGATCCATCTTATTGACCTCAGCATCCTTTTTTTAAAGATTTTGGGTTTTGTTTCCAATATTAAGTTATTTTAAATTGTGGTTGAAGCAATAGGAAATTGAAATATGGATTGTGCATGACTGTGTCTTGAGTGTAAAAATATTGCAGTTTGAAACTTGGACCTAAAGTATTGCAAATAAAAGTTATAAATTCCAATGGATTGTGTGACAGCAGCTCTTCCTATAGGATGTGCAGCATCAGAAGGTCTTCATCAGTGGGGTTGTGCGTGCTTTTAGTTTTGTCCTGTGCCACTCTATGTTGTCATGACACAGAACTTGACCTGCCACCAGCCCAGGTTACCCTCTGCCACTGCAGCTCCTTGGATCTTCTGTCCTCCAAAGAGACACAAAGTGTTTCTGCTGCTCCCCCTTTGCACAGATCCACAGAGAGCTGGGATTTTTCCAAGTGTCCTGTCTCCATTGGGCCATATTCCTAAAGAACCAGCAGCTCATCCTGATGACTACAGCGGTTACGAGGATGGTTGTCAGCTCCACTTCTGCCTAGAAATCCTGAAACTGCTTCTAATTGCTGCTCCTTCAGCTCCTGGACACCTTCTCACACAGAGCTGGGAAAAAAAATCCCGTGGCTGCCTGCTTACAAGGTGAGTTACGCCAAAGTTAGAGCTCTGGGGGAAATCTCTATTCATCCCTGTCCTTGTAATATATTTATACATGGGGGTGTGCATGGATGTGTCTTGTATAGAAAGGAAGGAGTGTGCAAGCGGCATGACTGACATTTTTACTCTCTGTTCCATACCCATGGGTACAACAACATTATGGAAACCCTTGTACAGACAGACCCTTCTGTCTGTGCATACAGAGACCTCCAAGGGCCTCTGGCACGCACAGACCCTCTGTCCCTGTAGAACCGAGCGCGGCGAGCGGGCAGCGAGTCCCGACAGCAGGCGAGACCCAGCTCAGCGCCTGCCAGGCCTTGCTCAGGCTTGATGCTGGCTCCTCTGCAATAGGAAGGACCTTCCTTGTCCCTGCCCAGAGGGGCAGTGCTGCCCTGGCAGCACAGGTTGCTTTTCCCACAGGCTGCAGGAGATGAGGACACAACATTTGCCAGCACTGACTGCAAGCCACAGCTCTGGGTGCTCCCCGTGAGCCTCAGCTCTGGGACCACTGTCTGCCCCAGGCTTGGGGGTGCAGGGGGAGCCCGGCTGGGCTCTGCCCTGGGGCCATCCTGCAGGGACAGCTGGAACAGGGAGCACTCAGTTGGCACAGCCATGCCATGGGTGGAGGCTGGTCCGGGTTTGGACTGTGCGCTGGGGCTGCCTGCACAGGGGGGTGAGCCAGAGGAGACAAAGAGGCTTCAGCTTAAGCCTAACTGAGGTGGGTGGGTGGGCTGGGAAGAGTGGGGAGGGTGAAGGGGTTTCACAGAGCTCATCCTGCTGGAAGGATGAGGAAAGGGAGTGGAAACTCAGAGTGAGGAGAGCTGTCCTGGCATAGTCAGTGCAGAAGCACTGCCTCAGTTTGTACAACTAAGGAGTCAGTATGCATCTTAGGAAGGTGGTTTCCTGAAAGATTGAATTTGGCATGTGGCTTCCACTTCTCAGAGGTGGCCTTCTGAAATTCTGGCAGCACACATCTTTTGGACAAGGTAAGCGGCTACACAGAGTCTTGGTGTGCAGCTGATCTAGTGCCCTGGGTAGGTACGCCCAGCAACAGTGCTCCAGCACTTCTGTATGGGATCAGTCCCTGGATGTTTTGTAATTTAGAGGAGGGGATGTCAGTTCTTTTGAGATGGGCTTGTAGTTCCTCTCTTTGGCAAGGAAAGCAAGTTTAGAGACACACATTGGGTGCTCTTCGTGAGTTTAGAGGCTTTCTGTTCAGCTGCCGGGGGGATGCAAACGCCAGGCTCTTGAGCTTTGTGTCCTAGGACCTTTAGTGTGTGAGCAGTCCCCGTTGCCATTCTCTTTGGATCCAGGCTCTGGGAGACTGAAGGCTTCAGATGGTACCTAGACCTGAGAAGGAAAGTGCTGACAGCAGGGTGTGTGCTGGTAAGTTGAAGTTGTCGGCAGCAAGAGCTTTCTCAGCTGGCAGCTTTCTCCGTGAGTTCTGTTTTTGCCAGGTGTTTTCAAGTTTGGTGGCCAGACTCTGGGCGAGTGCAAAGCTTTATTAAGGCAAAGGAGTTCATGTTGCTCTTTGACTGTGGTGCAAAGAAGGCTTTGCACTTGGAAGGGGAGATTGGGGAAATCTTTTTGTCGTGACACAGTTGATTAGGGAGCAGGGACGTTTCCGACTTGGCTGTGTCCTGGGGGTGCTTTCGAGCTGGGCTCGGTGTGTGTCCTTCTTTTGCAAGTCGATACCACCATCGTGTGGTTGTTTTGATGAGCGCTGGCAGTGCCCAGGACAAAGCCCAGCGCTTCCCTGGCTTGGCCCATTCCTGTGGGAGCGGTGTGGGGGCAGGAGCTCGGCTGCGGGTCCTGGCCCTGGGGCTGACAAAAGGTTATCCTGCATCCGGCAGGGAAGAAAGAGGAATCGTTTCATTGTTGGCTTTGCAGTTTGTAGTCTGCAAAAGAAAAGGCAATTCTAGCACGGCCTGTTTCTTTAGAACCTTTTCTGTGTGATCCGTGTCTTAACACGTAATGCACACCCACTGAACTGCATCCAGCTCCCTGCAGATATGCACATTCCTTCTCACCTAGATATAGAGCATCCTCACATTCTCTCAAGGTGGCAGGGTCCATCCTTACAGTGAAGCACTTCCAGTTCAGTTCAGTTCAGACTGAGAGATGTGCCAGGACAGAAATGTGCCACTGCCCTTCCATCTTCCCTGTAAAACCTGATTCCCAGTGCAATCACTTTCACACAGCTTCAGCATAGGTCTGAGAGCCTTACTCTGATACTGTATTGCTTAGCTTTTATTTCTGTGTGTTCCTCTATGCCAACCTGTCCACTGAGTACTTTAGTACAAAGTTCATGTCTACTTTGCTAGTTCCTTGAACTGTACTTTGGTGGAGCTGCATTTGAAATCCTCTGGCTCAAGGCTTGTTTTCCTGATAGGTATTACACAACACAGTAAAAAATGAGCTGTAGAGTACTGGCAGTGCTATGGCTTGCTGTGCTACAACGGCCTGGACCCTCTTGATGCCACTGCAGAGCCAGTGCTTGCAAATGGTGCTTAAATGTGTTACTGGAAATATGTAGCAAAGGAACCAAAGCTTTTGTTCTATCTCTAGAGAAAGTGATTTTGATGACAAAAGCTGACATGTCATGATTCAGCTGAACTTGCTTTTTTAATTTGGTTTTGGAGTTTACTAACACTGGATGAATAAAGAAATAATTTTACTGGGTTTAGGTAGCTGCAAAAGTGGTGCCAGCTGCATTAATTGCAATAAGTGGTGGCCCCAGCTGGCCCAAGGTGAAGTTCTTCTGGAAGTCAGCTGAGGAGAAGGGAATTGGGACCTGGGGATGGAATTCTTGGTGACTATGATGTCACCAACTCGGCCATTAGACTAAACTCCAGAGAGAATATAGCTATATGAGCTCTGACAACAGACCCCAACTTTTCACATTTGTTTGGGTTTTTTTCCAGAACTAAAAGGATATTTTAAATCTTGAAAGCAACAGATGTATCACCTGAGAGTGAGTGTACTTCATGATACGTGAAATCCCATCTTTCTTATTTCATTTAGTTTTCTCAAAGACAATTTGTGACTTTTGTAAAACTATTTCCCATAGTTGTGTTGTAGGACCTTACTGGGTAGTATGATTTATTTGGTGGCAAGGAAGGTTTATAAATCAGTCGCCCGTGTTATACACAGTGAGGACAAAATACTTCAGTGAGATGCATTTTTCATCTAATCAGCATAGATGAGCATCTTGTCTCTATTTCCTCAGGGCAAAGTGTGTCCTTTCAGCAAAACTGGGAAAGCCTGAAGAGAGGTGATCATTGCAGCACAGTGTAAAGAGTACCTGGGGATGCAGAAACAGCAGAGCTGTTCACAGGGCTGAGGAAGGAAGACTCTGCTTGGCTGCAATCTGCTATGGTGGCATCTCCCAGAGAGGTCTGAGGAGACTTGGTGGTTAATCCTCTCTGCCACTTGTGTAGATCTTTGCATATGAGATGCCCTGTTGGCAGAGCAGTAAGAGAAAAGTCTGTGCTGCAGCTGACAGCAGTCTGAGGGCTCCTGAGGAAAGCAGGAACAGCAGCCTCCAGGGTTACCAGAGGACTCTTGGCTGGGGCCAGGCCTGACATCTTGGGCCATTATCTGTATTCTCTGCTGCTCTGTGGGCTACAGGGACCGTAGCACTTTGGCTGTGTGTTAGGCCTTCAGGCCTTGATCACAGTTTCCCTCCATCCTCCTCCCTCCCTGCTGACTTTACCATAAAATCAACGGAACTTTCCAGCCCACCTTATTTTCTGATACAACAGGACAACACTATGTATGTTTTCACATCATATCACACCCACTTAGCCTTACAACAATGAAGTAGTTTGTTCTGGGCAAAGTCCATATATGCAGGAAATCAGGTAATTTAAAGTTGCTGAGAAGGAACAAAGAGAAAAAACTCCCCTAATGATGACTCCTTCCTCATCCTTTATCACAAGTCCTTTTACCTGCTATCAGTTTTACCTGTAACTGGTTTGCTGTTACACACACACCCCTAAGATAAAACAGATCTATTGATCTTTTACTATGGAAAACTTTAGAGGTCAAGATATTAGTAATAACTTTCCCATTCCTCTCTGATTAGAGAAATCACTGGTGGAAACATACCATCATCATCATCATTGAATTTTCATAGAATGGTTTGGGTTGGAAGAGATCCTAGAGATCATCTGGATCCAACCCTCCTGCCATGGCCAGGGGCAGCTTCCACTGGTCCAGATTACTCAGAGCCCCATCCAACCTGGCCTGGAACACTTCCAGGGATAGGGCAGACACAGCTCCTCCCGGTGACCTGTTCCAGTGGCTCACCACCCTCACAGGGAAGAATTTATTTTTAATATCTAATGTACCCCTGTCCTCTGTCTGTGTGAAGCCACCCCTTTTATCCTATCACTGCTGTCATCAGGAAGATTTTTCTGCAGGTGTTTCATGTCTTATTTGCGTGGAGTTAGAGTGACCCAATGGTGCAGAGGCTGAGCTTATGCGAGGAGAAGAACATCTCTTTTCACTCGATTTTCTCCGGGAAGGAAATTGAGAA